GAACCCGCGCATCAGAGAAAGCCTTTGCCGGAGGCTAATGCTCTACCGATAATGTGTTCTAAAGAGTCGTTCGTCAAATCCAAAATGTCACTAATTGGGTGTTTTCCCATTAAGTTTATATTTATCCTCACCCCTCATGCAGGGTTATCATTCGCAAACCCTACGTTGGTTCCTCCTTCATCACATGGAGCCAGTACAAGCAGATGATTGGTCGCGCTGGGCGTGCAGGCCTTGACAGCTATGGTGAGAGCGTGACCATTCTGCAGCCCGCTGACCGACATCTATTTGCTCGACTCCTACGCAGCTCGCCAAAGCCGACAGAGGGTTCTGCCGGTGACAATAACTCCGATGGAGCCTTCTGCTCCAGCAGTCTTTTGTATGATGATGGGAAGGGCCTTCGTCATCTCCTCCTGTCTCTCCTTGGTCTTGGGGTAGGTCCCCTTTTCATGCACTTTTCCTTGTCCTGGAGATGCAGTGAATCAATCAGAGTTGTCAGATCTACTGGGGCGATGTTGACACGGGTCCGTATTTTCTGACATTTTTCCTGTATTTGACGGTCGTGAGGACTGTGCCAGTGGTCCAGTGCTCTTTTCGGAAGTAAACCTTGTTCCTGCTGCTCGTTCAGGCGAGTAAGTGACGCGAGATACATATCTTGCCAGCAATGTTGATGTACCGTCGTCAACAATTTGGAGTTGTGAATTCGTCCTTCGTACCACTTTGACTCAGTTAGGAAATAGGCTTATCCATGAGTTAAGAGCTGCCATATTTGTGTACTTCGGCAGGAATCAGTGCGGGATTCTGAGTTTTTCGCCTGACTACTGGTTCACTGACATATTTCTGTATGCTGTTGGGTGCTATCAGGCTACCTTCTGGGAGACTCAAAAATATCGGTACACGAATGAAGGCAGTAGGTATTAACAGACTCATGTTCGTGGGAGACGCGCGCCCGTGCTTTTTTGTGAAACTGAATTGTGGTAGGAATAAGGGCATGCCCAACAGTTTCAACACTCGTCTGAATCCACGTCTGTACTTGAAGCCTAAATAGGCTTACCAGCTGTAAATTAAGTCAAGAACGGCTTCTAAGCTGCAGTTATGACAGCATCGTCCTGTTTCGATTGAATGTCTCCCTTTCGGCCACGTTTTCCCCTTGAAGGAAAGCTAAGCGGTATAAGAATTAAGATTCGACTTAACACCCAGCTTAAAAGTAACCTGAAACATCTGACCCCCAATTATGTGACTGTTCTTTTTGCGAAAATTTACATTCGAATGAGCACTTTTATTTTCTTTCTTTATGAAAGCTTGCAACAAACTTGGCTGAACTAATAAGCTGCGCTGAGCAAACCTTCTATGCCGTGCAACAGAAAAATCGCCTAGGTGCAGAGGCTGGCCGTGCCAAACTTGATGCCGATGTGCGCGATCAGTTGCAACACCTGTTGACTGGTCGTCTTGTCAGTGTTTCCACCC